CAGTATACGTATAGAAATTTCGTTTAAAGGCGACGGGATATTCGAAACGTCGCGAACGAGAGCACAATAGGCACGGAGATACCACGTTCTCGGCTCTTTTCAAATTCGTATCTCGCCGAATCTGCTAGCTCGCACGCCCGTTCTTCGCGACCAGCGCACCTTTCTCTCCTAGGCGTCGCGACGCCGAGAGTCGACGATAGGAAATAGGGGAAATAACCCGAACCGCTCCGGCAGACAACGCTGGAAGCGAAATGGAATGGCGAAAAACGCGTCTCTGGTTGCACTCGCGCGACCTGCGGTCGACCAAGAGGGGACGACGACGAGACGGTCCTCCTCGATGGCCGATACGGGCGACGATGACGCCGTCGAGCCGTCACTCGAGTCGAGGGAAAATGCAAACGAGAGTCGACGCTCCTTCGATATTCGCGAGGCGACGAAAAACGAAGAGTCTCCGTTCGGAGGGCGGTGGCTCGTTAAGGCTTGATTAATTGCTCGGCTATCGATTAAGCCGCGACACGGTTACGTTAACGCGAGTTTCGAAGGAGCAGGAACACAATCGAGACATTCACGCGCAATTTCGCAGGAAGGAAGCGCCTCCGCGTCTTGGTCCAAACTCCCCCGTCGCTGACAGTTATAGGACGTCTCGTTTGTAACTGTCGACGCGACAGGATCGAGCTTAAACCCCCGAGATGCATCCTGTGAAAATCAAGAGGGGGGAAAGGGTCGGCCTGGCACCCACCGCCGAGATACGACGAGAAATATTGGATTCGACGTGTCCCACCAGCGAAACGACGCCAATCCTGAATACGGCTGGGGACTGGTCGAGAAGAGAAGAAAAAAGAGGGGGAAAAAAAACGAGGAAAAAGGGATAAATAAGTAAATCGAGTCGGCCAAATCGAGATACGCGAAAGCTCCTTCCAAAAAACGATAAATTTACGTGCCCTCCCATTTTCCACGAGCGTATATTCGCTGCACGAGACGTCATTGCGCGAACACGCCCGATCAATGAACGACAAGGTTCGTTCGCATCCGGATAAAATTCCAATATTCAAAATTACGGGAATTACGAACTTTTTTCCCCTCCTCTATACACCTTCCTTCCCCGCCTTTTTTTCCCCTATTTTTCTTTTTTTTCCTTTTTCCTTTTTCCTTTTTTTTAATACTACTCGAAATCGATACGGGCCATTAGTAAATGAAAAAAGGACGGCGAATTAAAAATTTCCGATCGAATATGCGGAAAAGGAACAACGTCGCGACCCTCTTGCACCGCGGGCATTTCGTTTTCGCGTTTCCATTGACGATTAGAAGCACCGCGTCGCGTTCCTTTCAAAACGATTTTTATTCTCGCCGACCACGTTTCGCAACTTCCCATTGTTACGTTATACTCGCGCTAAATCGCGCGCGGACTCGAACCGCCGGGGTAGACCCTTCTCGCGAAACTTTTCATCGGACGGAACCGATGAACGAAAGCAAAGCGACGCGTTTCGCGGCGGAGCCGATGAAGCGTCGCGAGGAACGCGCGAGCGAGAGGAAATCGGTTCCGTCGATACGGCGGGGCGAGCGAAACGGGGGGCGAAAAAATGGGGTATCGGCGACGCGACACGGTGTCAAGTGTCGCGAGATAAATAACGCGGCGCGGGAACAAGCGGAGAAAGGGGGAGAAAGGGGGAGAAAGGGGAGAAAAATGGCTGAAAGGGAAATCGCGAGGGACCTTGGCGCGCGTGGCTTTTTCCCCGATTGACCGCGCGGTCGGCGGCGGAAATCAGCTTGGCGGAACATCGAAACGGCGATTACGAGGGAGATATCAGCGATGCAAATTATGAATCGCGGAGGGACGCGGGCGCAAAGTCGGCGATGAATGCCGCGGCGTAAACGCTTCATTGTCTCCGGCCTCGTCGCCCATTCAGCGTCGCATTCATCGCGGCTGCGGCGGCGGTGAGGCAAAAAGGGTATTATTGGCGCGAACGAGGGGAAAGGATGGTGCGGCGAAAGGAAAACCGTGTCGACGAGAAAGGGGTGCCGAGTATGAGGATAGCGCGAGGCATCCGCGAGAAAGCCGGAGCGGCAGAGGCAAATTAAGAAATGGAATAACCGCGAAGAAGCGGAGGCTGGAAGACGGGTTGCGCGAACGAGCGAGGAAAGCCGAGGAAAAGGGTGGGAAAAGCGTCGAGAGAAAGGAGAAAGCTTGGCCGTGGAAAGGAAACCGTGTAAGATCGGTTCGTTAAACCTCGCCGCGGAAAGAAAGTCGGCGAGCACCCGATATCGCTACGAGCCCTTTTCTCGCTCTCGCTTCCGTCCACCGCCCCGTCGCGAGCCTAATTTCCTTCTTCGTTTCCACCATCGAATTTCCGACACTTGGTCGTTGAATGGACTCGCGTGAACGATCGAAAGGGAACGCCGCGTTGTCCCATTTTCGAGAACGCGACCCCCGGAGCGACGATACCGACGTTACCCCGTTTCATCGAATGTTAAACGACACGCGCTGTACGCGATTTCGCTCCAGTTAAAGCGATCAATGTCCTGGGGGGTAAACAACGCGTCTGGCGCAAAGGCGAGGCGTATGTCGCAAACGTAATCGAGCGCGTGGCTCTTGGTGCGGTGCATACCACCAGCTAATGAAAGGGCTTCATTATTCCCGCGGATGACTATAGCGGTGATATTAATTTCTCGCTTTAGTATTTATCCGAGCGAGAACTGGACGAGCGCGCAATAATAAACGATACCGTCGATAATTGTTGCGTTACAGAAATATATTTACCGTAGATGGCGCGAGGGACGGTGCGCGCGACCCGTCGCCGCGTATATCTCCGCGCGATCATATTTTCGACCATTATTACCGCGTCGAGTTATTGCCGTGGCATCGATAATTAATAACGAGCTCGATCCGTCCACGCGTCCGCAGCATCCCGCGCGGTCGCGCCGCGATCCTATGCGGCCCCCGCGAATTCGCGACGAGCGCGAAACCCACCGCACTGCCAATTCTGCCAAGCGTCAAGGGGTCCCACGTCCGACTACGCCGCACGGTCCGACACGCTCGCAAGATCGTCGGACGTGTTCGTCGAGTTCACGGTAAACGCTCCTCTCCCTTCCTACTTCCGTCTGCTCGCCGCTCGACCCTTTAACTTCGGAAATTGCACGAGTCGCTCACGGCTTTATCCGTTACATCGGCCAACTTCCGTTCCTCGTCACGCCTCCTGTCCAACTTCTTTCGACACGCGCGCGCGACCCAGTTTCCCCGATTCGACCGACCTTCCGCGATTCCCCGACGTCCGGCACGAGACAAAATTCCGACCGGTCGTTAGCAGCCGGCGAGAATTCTTCGCCAATATCCAACCACCGGGATCGATCCGATCGGATCACCGGCTCCACTGCTCCAGGATCCGTCCAGTTTAATCGAATTCCCGCACCGTTCCACCGAGTTTGCTCCAAGTCCAAGAACTTGTCCGTCCAAGACAATGCGCGAATCGCGCGTCAAAGGACAAGTGGTACGAATCTGATTGCGAGCACTCGAGACCGCGCCGCGCAGCGTCGCGCCGATCCAAACGAAGTCGAGAAACTTCCTGGACGTCTCGGAACGTGCTACCCCGTTCCCACTATTTCAGCATCTCCGTGTAATTCCGCATCCGGAGAGCTGGTTCCAGAATTTCCAGAGCGAAATTCGAAGTCGCGAATTTTTACCGAACTCTAACTTCCAAGTCGATCTCCGATCAGATCGGAGAAAAATTTGTCCGAAAGCTATGGCATCCGAGCAGATCCCACCGCGGACTGGCTCACCTGCGCGTACCCTGGTACCCCTGGGGATAGGAAGCATGCCGGAAGAAGACGCGGACGACTACAGTTCGAGGAATACGCGATCGTGAGTTACGCGTTAACCCTAGAACTTTCCGCGAGAAGACGTGGCAAACGATGCTCCGTTTTATATAATAAAATATATAATATACTTTATATATAAAATATGGCTAATCGCTCGTACTCGCTTTCTTCGTCACGGGTATAGCAACGTCTCGTTACGACGTCTACGCGTATTATCTTGTCACGTTGGCGCTAAATCCGTCATCGATTACACGATCGTTTTAAAAGTTTCTATTAAAAGTTCCTTCGTTTTCGATTTCGTCGCTCCGCTTTTAGATTTTCCCATAAGACGTAGTTATTTGCTAAACGTTTCGGAACCCCCTCGTACCCCCTTTTTTCCAAGGCTCTTAACCTCTCGTGTCATCGTCTGTGTCATCGTCTATTATTCACGACTACTCGCTCGATCGTGCGCTCTCTTGGCGTTTAATGGGACGCCGATTATCGATTCCTACAATTAAATCTAATTAATTAATAGTCGTTTCTTCAGTTCGAACTTTGAATGTCGAAATTATTCATTACTCCCTGTCGATAAACTAGTTCTCCAAATTCTGCTCAATGTTTCAGACACTCCGAAGTGGTTTAACTCATCGCGAGTCACGATCAGGGATACCCAACAATGGAGAAAACTCGTTGCGAATCGACGACGTTCGACGATGATATACTCGCTGCGTCGCGCGATAGTCGCGCGATCTACAGTGATACGCCTGGATGCGTAATTAATACGCGAAAAGGAGAAATCCGTTACGCGGTGGAAATTATTCTGCTGCCTCCCCGTCGCGTTCCTCGCGAGCTACATTTCCGATGTTCGATCGGAGAGCCCGGTGACCGGAAAGCCCGGACCCAGAACGAACGTCTGCCGTCGTTGCGGGACCGGAGCATCCGAGAGCGCGATTTCGATTCGTCGATTTATTACGCGCTCGTGCACACCGCGAAAAAGCGCGGAGATGGCCGCGGGCGAATCTCCGGCACAGATACCGTTCGCCCCGGTAAATAAAAAGCAAGAAAATGGGGGAGATACGCGTGCCGATTGCCGCGTGCGACGGTATTTTTTGACCGCCGTTAGATCACGAGTCAGTCACGCGAGTTTTCGGAAAATGGCAGCCGAAACGTACCGACGAAATATGAAAAGTGGAAGATATATGACTCACCCGATTTCTCGTCGACGGTGGAAGCGATCCCGGCGACGTAGGAGACAGCCTTCGTTAGTCCAATGAGTAACAGTACACTCCACATGTTCTCTCGTTGTTCCTTCCTGTGTTCGTCACGAATCCCAGCACTCGGAGGCGAAGCAAAGGTAAGCCACCGGAGAACGGCCTCGTTCTATCTGTTGCTACCCTCGCGAACGGGCCGCCTTAAGTCATCTTGGCTCGATAGCCGACTCAGTCCACGGTGTTTCGCACTCTCATCTTATTTTCGGGTGTCCGTCCGCGTCCTCCACGGTCATCGCACGTCGCTCCGAGTCACGCATCGTCCGCGCACCACCGAAATCGCATTGGTACCCGACGCCACGCCACGTCACGTCACGCCACGCCACGCCACGCCACGCCACGCCGCGCCACGCACCGGCAACTTCTCCTTTCCAAGATGACGCGCGTCCACCTACGAAGGCTTAACCTGCGTGCCAGTGATTTCGCGCATCAACCTTCGCGCTACTCCCCGACGCTCGTCTTTTTCCTCTCTGTAGCTGCACGCTAATTAAAGTTGCCACGGCACCGCATCCACAGCCGCGCACCGCAACCTCCGCGCTTCGCAGTACCTTCTCTTTTTTTCCTCCTCCCTTTCATCCACTCTACGGCCGTTATTAAAGCGTTCGGCACGCGTAGCAGTCCCCGCGCCGTTAGAAAACCTACCGCACTTTCGACCTAACTGCGCGCCACTGTCGCCAATAACCTGCAACGACGAGCATGCGATACCCGCAATCACCGCTGACCATGGTATATATCCACCGAGGCCGCAAAATTCACCGCACCACCGGCCAACGTTGCTCCGAAAATAACCTCGCGTCGCTCACCGCGATGTCTCGGCCGATCTCCTTCCACCCGATTATGGCGTCCTTCGCAGGCCGTTCCAACCGGCGAACCACCTCCACCGATTAACCACGCCGATTCTTTCCCCAATCTTCCGTTCTTCGCCGGCCGTCTGCGCTTTCCATCGACACCGACAAATTCACGAGAATTTAGCACGAGAAACGCTTCGTCACGCTTCGAATAATCGTCTCCTTTCCGAAGAAACTTCTTTTACTGCTCGTCGATGCGAAACTGATCCCACAGGTCGTTGCGACCTCTCGATTCGTCGACAAGGTTAAGGAAGGGTGGGGGAGAGCGCGTTCGGTCACGTCGCGCTGGCCGGCCGAGGCGAGCTCCGACTTTTTTTCCCCATATCGACGAGCAATGTAAACATCCAGAGGTTAATCGTAACGGCCGGAGCGAATTCCTGGAACGATCGTGCACAAAAACAAGACGCAGGCGAGCGAAGGGGAGATCGTTGGCGACCGTTGGTCGACCTTAACTCGGCTCGACGAAACTTCGAAACGAAACAAACGGAACACTGCCGGAGAGCTCCGATCACGTTGGCACGCGACGGATTTTCAGTTCGTCTGGAATAGGTCCAACGAAACGGACCGCGCACAGGCCCGCAATCTCGTCAATGGCCGCGAACTCTGCGAAATCGATCCTCGCGAAGATTCCACGAGCACAACCGTCGATCCACTCTGTCACCGACTCGCCGCGTCCACCCGTGCGAAATAGGTTATCCAGACTTTTCTACCGCGACTTGGCGCGCTTTTTCCAGCGATGCGTCGCTTCGCTAGTAGGTGGCGTTCGGACGATTGTTCTAGCGTGTCTTCTCGAGATAACCGCAACGATCTCGCGGGAACGTGCCCGCGAAATGCCCACGAGAAGCCATAGATGTCAGTGCGAAGCTGTTCCGTCGCGGCGAGAAGAGGAATTCGACACGTGCTCCACGCCACACCACCGTTCTGCGTACTGTCGAGCGTCGACGAGCTATCGTCGCGGCGACGAAGGATCGGACGAGACTCGTGCACCGACGGAGACGAGGATTATCGGCTGTGCGGAGAAATGGTGAGATTTTTCGTCGATTGGATCGCGCAGCGGAAGTAGAGGGGTGTAGAAGGCGCGCGAAGGGTAGTCGGACGGCGCAGGTGCACACGACGCATAAACACGTGGTCCTCGACCGACGGCGGACGGCACACTGACGGAGAAGACGAGCAAACGGCGCGGCGACGGACGCGCAGCCTGCAAAGGCTCCCGAGGAGGTGGAGGTGTCGGAGGAATAGCTGCGGGTGGGGCGAAAGGGGTGAAAGGGGTTGAACGTGTACACCGAGCACTGTTACCCCGATGCCAAAAAGGGACGTTTGTCCCACGCGCGAAAGAATACGCGTAAAGCGTGGCAATTACTCGCGGATAAATATCGCGAGTGGCACGCACTCGCGTGTGCTAGCACGCTCGATGACAGCCGTCCTACTCGTCCGAGTTTGCCGAGATTAAATCGGTGGATCGGACAGGATGTCGAAAATGCTCGTCCTTCGTTTGATAGCTACGATGTCGCGTTCAACGAAATTTCGCGGAAAATATTTTCGCGTTATATTTGCGCGAGATTCGATTTATAACGTTCGTTCCGTTGGTCGATTACGCGAGTTAGTTACCATCGCAAACAACTATGAATAATCCATCCTCGTGTTCTCGTTCGTTTCGGAAAACAATCGGGAGAGCTGTATACTTTGTACGCGGAAGCTACGGCACTGCGGAACGGCTTCGTATTATTTTTCTTTCGGATTGAACAATTTCCTCGATACGATAACCAGCGAGAAATTCTCCGTGCGCAAATATTTCGAGGATGCTTCTCCAGCGGTCCACGATTCGTTCGCCATTCGCCGAATACGCGTTCGATTCGTCGGACAGAGCGAGAGCCGATGTCGAAAAGTTGGAACTCGCAAAAATCCGGGAAACGTCCGCGACCGCGTCTCGTGGATAGGGAGAAGAAAAGCTCGAGATAAAGACGTTTAGCCTTTAACGGTTCGGCCCGGGTCGAGCGTACCTCTCGATAGCCGCGTTTCGGATACTCGCGGCGCCGCTCTCGCTTATCCGTGGACGAATGTCCGCTTTTTGTTCGGTGTCGAAGACGGTTTACCGTGGTTTAAGAGATCTCGGAGCAAGTGGCGGGGCGGCGAGGGTGGAAAAGGACGAAGAGGCACGGGACAGGGTAAGCGGGGTGGAAGAGATCGAAATAGGGTGAGAGACCTCCGGGCGAAAGAGGCGGATGAGGAAGCAGATGCTCTCTGACTGGTGTCACGGATCATGGTCATCTTAAAAGCTCCTGAAAGGCAGGAATGACACGTTCTCCCCGCGACGACACCGTCGTATCCGCGCGTAAAGACGCGAAAGGGTTGCTCGATTGCAAAAATCCCCGTGCCATTTCTCCGATATAACGACTTTACCGTTACCACCGACGACCCCTTACTCGACAAAGGAACCCTCGACAAAGGATTAATAACCGAACTCCATTCTTTGCGCCCCTACCTAGGCGCGCCTGCTCCCGGTCCCTATCAACCTCTGTCGACCGTGGCCTCTCGCGCGGAAATGAAATCCGCGCGACGCTGCGAGCTCGCGAGCTACTTTGCCGTGTCACCGATACAAAAGCTATCGCTCGAACATGGTATAAATATTTCACGTTTCACTTTTATTCTCCAAACGATGTAGCGGAGGCGATGAATTTCGTATGAACTCGCGCGCTACCCGTGTCGCGTATATTACGTTCCGACGTAATTTAAACGTAGTAAAAATTTCACCATAAAATCCGGCTAAATAAGAGCGCGGAGGTTTAAATAACGCGATCCTTTCATTTTCCGCGCACCCTGAAAGGCAATCGCGTTCCCGTTATCCTCCTTTCCACCGTTCGATGTCTGCCGATGAGCGACCGGGCGAGAGCTTCGAGTTGGAGGCAAAAGCGTTTCCAACACGCTTCGCTATTGCCGCTTAATGCACATTTCCGTGACAGCTGCAGAAAAATCACGCTTAATTGGAACGCAACGTAGGATTACGTGACATACCGGCTGGCACGAACATCGACGTCGCGCGAAAATCGCGTCTTTTCGAGGCTCGATCGCGAGCCACGTTACACACGAGCCAGCTATTAACGCGACCATTAGGCTCGCGAGTCGCGCCACGCCACAGGGTAAAAACGTTTTGGTTCCGTGAGATCCGGCATCGAGATTGGAGCGCCGCTTTTCTTCACGCGACACCGTTTACTCGATCTTTAAAAAACCACCTGGCAGTCGCGAGCTTTGCAATTTCCGAAAACGACCACCTAACCCCCCGGTGACGCGAGTCGCGATTCCTCGTCGATCCTTTGCCTCGTAGCGTCTCCGAACCGAATCGGTTTTCGAGCCACGCCGGCAAACATCCAAGTAGAACAAACGGCCACTCCGTCTAATCGCTACCACGGTTTTGTAATTGAATTATTAATGGCAATGCTATCGATCGGTCCACCGCTGTAATTTACTTTTGTAATTCACCGTGAGATACGGCACGAGGAAAATAAGCGAGTAGGGAAAATAAATCGTTGGCGGCGATCGCGATTTATGAAAGCTGCTGTAAACACCGCGTGCCAGCGACTCGTTATCGCGACATCGTTCCACTCTTCGTTGTCGAATTTCAACGCGAAAACAGATCCTTCGACGATTCGTCATGATGCGTCTTCCTCTTCTTCGCCGGGGAAAGCGTCATCCTCAACGAGTGCTCCTTGGGACGGTTATCGTTCATGCTTGTTATCCACGGGCAAGGTGACAAACTCGACGATCTCACGGTGGGACCAAAGCTGAACAGACGTTTGCGTTTCAACGTTCGTATCGTCGGAGAGGACCGCGTGGCGAGAGAATTTTCCTAGTTACCCGCGCGTGGCAGTAGCTGCCAACTTGAGGCCTCGAGTTCCCTATGTTATCGACGCTTCGTCGAGTTCGAGTTGAGCGTGACCACGCGTGATTAGGCCTCGTTCGTTCGTCGCTTGTCAAGGTCATTAACCCCTGAACAAGATAAAAACTAATTCATAATTCGACGAACGTGGAAACAGTTTAAAATAGAAGCACGATTGCGACGGGGGAAAAGGTACATAGAGGATGCGCAGAAAGGTCGCGACGAAAATATACAAAAGCTTTTATTAACAATTACAATTACTCGCGTACGCTATATACTGATTAAGCTCGTGGAAACAAGACTACGTGAGAATTGCTCTATCCGCGGAGATCGGTTTCCCATGCGAACGCTCTCTTCCACGTCGTCCATCTTTATTGTACATAAATCTCGAGTGCAGCAGGAACGCGCGCACTTTCGTCTCTTCTGGAACTCGCAAGTGGTCTTCCAGAAAGCAACGAACGGCCCTGCGCTCCTCAATTGGTGATCTTGGCTGGAACTTCGAAGCACGCGACCGTGCTGTTTCCTTGCATCAACGAGTAGTGAATAACCATGGAAACCTGCGAAACGTCACGCAATTAGAGACAAAATTAAGCGAAAAAATGGCGAACATGGTTACGAACGAAACTAAATCGTCCCTCATCGGCATCGTACCCTCGTATACCCTCTCGAGTAGGCACGATTGTTGACCAGAGAGGAGAAGAAAATTCTCCAACTCTTGGCCCGTTACGAAATCGTCCGGGACACTTGGCCCGTGCGCTGATAACGACCGTTATTAGATCGGTCTACCGACCACGATATCGCTTATCTGGCGGACGAACGGGCAGCGCGGGACTCGCGTGTGTTGGCTCTCACGAGGACAGCATCGTCGAAACGGAACGAAACGAAAAGGACACGTACCGTGGGATAGATTTGCAGCACGGGAAACTCTCGCTTGTACGTGTATTCGACGCCTTTCTTCAGCGAGCAGCCAGCCGGAGATCCGTCCGCGTTGTAGATGTTTTCGCACGCGTTGGTCCCGTCCACGCCGAGGAACGGCAACGGAACACCAAGGATGGCAGCATGCACGGCATTCACCAACGTCTCGACATCTTCGCTCGGCACGAACTTCTGCTCCACCGCTGCCTTTGTTCTGCGCTTCAATTTGCACGGTGGCGAGTCGCAGCCGGTTATCTTAACCTGATTCGGATCCTCGAACTTTTCTCCTGCAAAGGAATCCCGCGATTAGGGAAATTAGGTCCATCTCCGACACGCGTGTCGTAAAACCACAATGTTACGTAATCGGATAACGTCGATCCTCTCCTCTGGTATTTTATCATGGCCACGAGGAGATACTTTCGATATCTCGTATGCGTATATACTTTCGACGAAATACGACGGAATGAAAATAAAGACACGACGATTCGACCTGCTTTTCACGGATCACCGCCGGTTTTCTCCGATTCGGTACAGGCCTCGGAGCAGGTCGTTTAACCACCGTTCATCGGTGTTTTATTTTTACGTAATGAAACGAGATAATCGCCGTGAGTCACAGCCATGGACAAGAAGCATTATGTAAATATAGGAGTGAAAGTGGAAGATATCCTAAGCAAATCGGTACACACGAAACGTGGACTGTGAACTTCGAACGAGAAAACCAAACACGGGAGAGGAAAAATTTTCCACGCGAAAACGAAGAGGGATCGAAACGGAGCAACGAAAAAACTCGAAAACCGGTCGAGGTGTTTCTTCATCGGAGTAGGTAGAACGCCTGAGGATCTTTGGCGAAATATGCCAACTCGACGTCGGTCGCCGCGCGAAACCGTAAACAGGAAAAACGAGGGTGTCGGTTAGAAATGGGGTTTTGTCCTGTACTTACCAGTGCCGCAGTGTGAAACCTCGGTCGCACTGGCAACCACGAGCAGAGCTACGAAAACGAGAATGGTTCCCCTCAGCATCGCGGTGAAAGCGTGTGGCGTTCTCGCAGCAGATTCTTAGAAGAAATAGGTCTCGGGTTGGTCCTCGCTCGGTTCGATCAGGTCTAGGTCCGGCTCTCGACTGAGAGTTGCCACGGGATGCAACGTTATGGTCGGTGATTCGTCAAAGTTCGCTTTAAATAGATTCCCCTTCCCAAAGGAAGCGGGTTCCCGCTGCTCGGTGGGGACAGAGGAGAAAAGCGCACCGAGCATGGAAGGGATTCCGTAAATTCATGAAACCGAGAAGAACGTGGCGATGCAGACGATGCAACGTCAAAAGCACGTGCACGGGATGGACGCGTACCAGCGAGGTTGTGGAAAAATCGCAAGGTCTGTCGCGTTCCGAACGATCGCGAACGAGCCTGCTCTAACAGACTCTCCGGCATTTTCCGATATACCTTCAATTTCTTTCCTTTTTCCTTGGCCATCGGTCCGAACCAGCGGCGCCCCGGTCTAGCTTGCAAACGGAAATGAAACGAACCGATGCGACCGCGAGGAACAAAGCACCGGAAATTAACAACGCCGTTTCGCTGCACCGATGCTACTACAAATGAAATTCCTAGCTTCCACTTACGACGATGACCCCCGATTAATGCTCGTAAACCTAACGCGTTCCGACGTTCCGATTCCATTAATTCCGCGCGCGCCGAAATCAAACGCCTTATCGCACCGTTCCAACGAATTCGAATAAATTCCCTCGCGTTTCCCACGATCGATATACACAGACACGAGTAGGATCAACGCGCGACCTTCGTTCCTTCTCCTGGGCATCTTCTTTCAGTCGCCTCGTCGTCGCTAGAAACGTAAACAAACCGCGCGAGGACAACAGATATCACGCGCAAACATCGCTTCCTCGCCGCTTCCTCGTCACCTCGACAAAGTTCGAATGTCGTTACCTGAGCGAAATAACGATCGAACCGATCTCGCCAGGTAATAACGGCGAAAACGTGCCTCGTCAGAGGACACGGCGTGCACCTCGCGGAACGCAAAGTCAGCCGGAATACAAACGAGGAGAGGTTAGCGACGATAACCTTGGAGGAGAAAAGAAGAATCGACGCGATACCACGCGACTTCCTCGTACCTTGACGATAGCCTCGCAGCCGTAGATATCGAGTACCATCTTCGGACGCGCTCGACCGTCTTTCCGGCGAACGCGGACTGGTAATCGCGACGCGGCTCGGAACAGGCGTTGTCGCTCGTTTAACTCGTTCCCGAACGATTTAATCGAACAATCGTCGCGACGCGATTCACCGACCATGGCGGAAACCACGTTCGCGGATTCGTCCAGGACGACTGAAATCGGCGCATCGCAACGCGATCGAGAGGGAGCAAACCGAGTAGCGACGTAAGAGACAGACGCAAGATTGCCCATAGCATGAAGTGGACGATGCTCGCGCAGATAAAAATCGAATCCCGATGACACAGTGTGGCACGACGCGCCTGAGTTCTGAGAACCGCGGTGCAAAAAAGCAGCCTCGCGAAAATAATTACGCAAACCGCGCGCGTATGAGGTCGATTTGTTAGCCTGTCCACGTATATTTATCAGCGAGGTGCGATTCCGCGGTCGATTTCCTTGACGGCATGCTTCCGGATCCTACTTGCTCCATTTCGATGCCGCAACTGCGCGCATGTCTTCGTCATTCGCTGACACTTCGTCTCGGTATTTGCGAGGAAATAAAGTAAACGTTGAGTTTTTGCTCCGACTTGCCCCGCGGCACTCTTTGCAATGTATCCGCACTTGTTTTGCGGAACAGAAACCGCCTCGTCAGCGCGAAATTTTTTCAACTCTACTGTTATCGTCGATTCGCGGAAACGTTCGATGCGAGAGTTTACGCAAGGAACGGTTAAAAATTCGAAAGTTGGAACATTCTAATGTTCGAAAATACGTTTATCCGAGACTAGCGTGCCCTATCGTCTAGATCGAAGACGAAGAAACGGGAAGAATACGCGGAAAGGAATTGCAACTTTGCGGTAGTGGAACGTCGAGGATGCACAGTTGATCGATTTTCGTTCCAGTCTCGTCTGGCAAAGAACGATCGTCATCCGAAGAACGTCAAGCTGGTTATCGCCAGATCTCTCTTTCTCCGTGTAGCTTCTGCAGAAGCAATTATCTCGTTTCGACTAATTAGAACATTGTACAAGGGGCTAACTCGCCTTTATCAGCTAAGTAGCTGCGCCTTAATTTCCCGTGAAACTTTGATCTCCTCGGAGCATCTGCGAGAGGACACGGAAGAGGAAAAATGCGTCGAGTCGGAAACTCGATCGAATGACGTAAATGTTTCAAATTAGTCCGACGAGAACGAAGACGAAGAAGCGCGGGGAAATTGTCGCGTAGACCGGAGGAGTATGTAATTGCAGAAATGTGGATTTTTACATCGCGGTTGCTGATACCATATCGCTTTCATTGCGGTTCAATGGGTTGCGTATTGCTGGCTTGCATAAACATGACACTGTTTCACGCGGAAGATCGCGCGGCAACGCAGAAATTGCGTTGGAAATATTCGATAACAGCGGAAAGTCGACGAGAAGCAGATCGTTGGAGCACGTTCATCATCGAAGGGCAACGCCTCCATTACGATGCGTCGGTAACAAATTTCGCGCGTGTAAAAATTCGAAAAAAGAAAAAAAGAAGATCCGACATCTTCGCGTTTCCCGTTTTACTCCGTTTTCGATGAGAACGAACATGGAACTTCGTAAATTTCGGAAATTTATTCACCGATACCCTCCGTCGATCTGTTTTACTGGCCGCCGGTACAAGATGGTACAAGAGGGCACGTGAAGAGGCGTTTCGGTTCTATGTTTTCCCTTGCGAGATGTCGCTGCAGATTCCATCGAGTAAACGATCGAACTCTGTTCGCGTCAGTTGCAATTTTGTTCGATGATACTGTTTATCGAAATGGTATCGCGTCCGGAATTAAATCGATCGATCCGAGCTCGAACATTTCTGACCAAGGTCTTCGAACGGTTTCCCGTCAGTCGGCTATTCACCCGTTAATCTTCGTTCCCTTTTCCCTCAAAGCGAACCGACGAGGAACGTTTTTGATTTATAACGAGTGGTCTACGTTGCGCAGCTGGAAACCTGCATCCGGCACGAGAAAGGTATCTAGGACGCGCGAGTACGAGTGGCTGTCGTAAAGAAAAAATTCTCAGCTCTAAAAGCTTTTTACGAACCTTTCGACGAACGTTACCTGACGTTCGAGCACCCATCCGTAAAAACAATACTCGCGGACCTCGGGAATTTTTTCAACGAGACCCACCGCGGAAACCGCCATATTCGAAGGAGCTCGACGCGAACGATCGACGACACTCGAGTAAGACCTACGACGCCACGCGTCTCTCTTCCTCTCTTTCTTTCTCTCGTCGAGCAATTTCTCTGTTGGACGAACTGCGTCGTCCGAGACGTTGTTGCCGCGACGAACGATACGTTTGGTCCATTCGGACCATTTCCACCGACGTGTCCGAATATCCGGCAACGTTTTCAACGATTCGCCGTTTGCAGTTGCAACCAGCCCTAGATCTATTTTTGAACAGGATATATTTATAACTAACCTTACCTTTCGTGGGCCGAAGTACGTGCCGGCACTCTCGTAAATGGTATTGCGACCATCTCAACCTCTTTTCGAATCCAATATCTCACGACTCGCTTTACGACGAATAAACCCCCGCAGTGGTTAAACGGGGCAAATCGAGTCGTTTCGTCGTTGGAAACCGCCTTCTCGATCGACGCCGATTACTTCCACGCATCCGCGACCACGTTCCCGGTTACGTAATTTTTCCCAAGCACGAACGCGTCGTTTCGCGAGGAGAAAAAGCGCAGATTTTCCCAGACACCGACCAGAACTTTGCTTACAACGCGTGTCCGTGGTACTTCGGAAGAGGGAGCTCTCGCGCGGGCACAGGGTGGAGAATGTACCCCGAGCCACGATTTCCCCGTTGATTTCGTCGACGAACCGATGACGACGAGCAAACTGTAAAATGGCGAGCGATCGGGAGGATCTCGGGACGGGAATCGACGATGGTCGTTTAGCATTTGGAAAGAAGCGAACGAGCGGCAGACGACGCGAGCACGCTCATGAAAGTAAAATCGCGGGGCCGCCTCTTCCCCGAGTGCAGAGTCCCTGCGAAACAAACGGAACAGTCTGCCAAGGGTTCCCGGGATAATCTCGGAAAAGCGGGATAAATAACCAGACGGCTCGTAGACCGAACCGTTTACTCGTTTATATTTGGATACCGATGCATACTGTGATCCCCTCGCGTTTTGCATCGCGTCCGCGAATTCGCCATCATTCTCCCGGCATCCGAAGCGCTAGCTTATTCCGCGCTACTCGCTCCTCGTCTCTTTCAACGGGGAGCGAGATGGAGCCGCACCAGCTAGATGAAATTTCGGCGCCGCGACCTTCGCGCGCGAAACAGCCGCAAGACCGACCGCTTCCAGGAATGGCTCGATCTAGAGAAGCCGACCTAGATACTCCGCGTTTCCACCAACGAGCCATTCCGAATTTTACCCGCACGCGTACCCAGTTCGAAATGATTTTCGCCAGCCCGAGGAGCGACACGGGAGAAATCCAAAGGTCCACGAGAAGGGGAATACAGAGACGTTCGAATTTGAGAATATTGGTCGGAGAGGCGGAAAAAATGAAGCGGTCTGAAACGGAATCGACCAGCAGGAGAGCGGAATGGAGAGCGCGGTGTTTTTCTTGCTGGTCGCCCGACGGAATCGGTCCTCGATCTCGAACGAATTTCCCATGTCACGATGGACGTGGATCCGTGCCACATGATACTCTGTTTTGACTGATACCGCTGGCTGGCAGAGAGTAGCTGGAAGAAAAACGGCCTATCGGTGGAGCTCGCTATTCAGCGGAGCAAGGGACACAGAGGCAAGGAGCAATTCCCATGGGACGCTCCACGGGAGTAGGTTTTTAACGTGGCCAGAGTGTTCTCTGTCAAACAAAAGCTTATTATATATCAGCTTGTCTCGACTGGATGCGAAGAAATTTCTCTCGGTCTCGAAGCGCGGAGGGACGCGTTCGGGGCCCTTCCGGCTCTATTCTCCATCCGATCGTGTTTTACGAAACGCGACGATACCACGCGCCGACATAGGCTGAGGCCCGCGTGACTCGCT